TCGTGCCTCAGCAGAGACTTTGCGCATGCACGGCATAGGTCAGGTCTGCCACGCCGACAAGGTGTTCCCAAGCACAATTTGGTATTTTGGTGAGCGGCGCAGCCCGGCATAAGTATCCCCCTCTCTAACTCAGCTCCCCCCAGCGGGGTAAGTCGTAGGGAGGGAGAGTGGGCGTGGAGTGGATTTAACACAGCCGAGACCTGTATTGACCAATCACATCAGCTCCTCTCCTCGCTTTTAAATCCACCACCGGCGAGGCGTATTACAATTTTCAAGCAGTAGTCAAAGAGATCAAAAGATGTCTGAAGACAGCAATGCCACACGATGGCGACAGAAGGCAGCTCCTCAACAAGTGTCACTGTAAGCACTGCAGAGGGTGTCCTTCACACTGTCTCATATAAGCACAGATGGATTTTGGTGTGTGTAATGTTGGACCCACTGGTAAGACAAACACCCTTTTCCACAAATAAAGACACTCACATGAAGTTGCATCTAAATTTTTTATTTAAACCTCACGTGACAAAGGTGGGTTGTGCGCACAGATCACAACATAAATTCCAATAATGGCATTAAAATTGGAACAACCTGTGCACAAAGGACGCATCGCACTCTGTGGCCTGGCTCTTTCTTTCATAGATGTTGGCATAAAAAATAAATTTGGCTCAGAAAACTGAATATTATAATTTCGTATGTAGGCCTGACTCCGGATTGAATATTTACAGAATCTTAATGATGTAAGGAAATGAGATAAACAGGTAATTTTGACTGAAAGGTTCTGTTATTTTATTTTATTTTATTTTTTTGTTCAAATTTTTGAAGTAAATAACTCATCTGATCACTAAAATAAGTCATCTGGTCAGCCGGGCCACCCCTGCAGCAGTAGGACGGAGAGAGGACACGAAGACATGTCAGTTGTTGTGCCATAGAATGCACCCCTGCCGTCGAATGCACCCCCTGACGGGAGCACAGTTGAAAGAACACAACAAGGCGAAATAATCCAAGTTCTCCTTACCGTTGGATAGATTCAAAAGCATGTGTCTTTAATGATTTCATTCAGGCTATTCAGATAAGCCGAAAACAATAGCCCTCTGATTCGGAATATTTGCTGCCCTGAAAATGTAATGTTCTCTACCGTAACAGCTTACTGTACAGTTTATATACCCAAGTACACCTCTGTATGTGCATTTTTTTAATACCTAAAAACAGAACAAAAGTTTGCTGCAACATTTGATATGTTGTCATGATCCAATACTCCTTTTTTTAAAAATATGAGATATTTTTTTCCACTTTAACACTAGAAGGACCACAGAGCAGCCATTTGGCTTTACCCCCCTCAAGGTCCACGGGGCAGCCGATCGGCTGGAAGGATTTTAGCTAATATCCTAAATCACCTGTGAGCACTCATTTTGTTATGCAAACGAGGTGATCGTTGGTGCACCACAGGAGGGGACTGGACTAAGTGGTGTATGCAGTGGGAAGGGACAACAGAAAGGAAGGGATCAACACACATGGGTTGTTTACTTTGTTGCTGAAATTTATTGATTAAAAATAAACAAAATTTAAACAACTGTATAGAATAAGAACAAGAATCAGAATCACAAGGGGTTTTATTGCTATTGTCAATGAACAGGTTTCACAGACTAGGAATTTTTTACGGCGTGATGGTGCAACATTAAACAGAGTATAATATGTACAATACAAGAATAAAAAATAAGAGCATGCAGGACATATATAAAGAATAAAAGTATGAAAGGCTATGTACAATGCTAGGATTTTTTACGGCGTGATGGTGCAACATTAAACGGAGAATAATATGTAAAATACAAGAATAGAAAATAACAAGAGCATGCAGGACATATATAAAGTATAAAAAGGTTGGTGATGGACTTCAGGTGAATATGCATCATCAGGATACAGTGTTAGACTCTCACTCACAATCCTGGCACTGCCATGGTATCTCCCTTCTGCATTTCCCACATGTGTATCTGTAGCAGTCAACACATCGCACAGTGGCATGATTGTTCTTACACTGATTTTTAACCTGGCACATGGCTCTTTTCCCAGGGCTAGGTGTGGAAGGTTGTTGCCGAAGCAATTCTTCCTTTCATGCCTTCTTCGCAGTCACATGAGAGTTAGCCAACTCTCTTGCAAGCTCCACCAGGAAGTCCACCCGTCTCTCCTTCCTCCCGGTGCATGCTTGATACAGCACATGTGCATCCAATGCTGCCGTATCAATCATGTTATAGAACACAGCGACTGGCCAGCGCCATGTTCCTGTGCGGACAGTGTACTCCCGCACCATCTGGTCCATCACATCCACGCTGCACTTTGTAGCATTGTAAAGTTCATTGCAGTCCCTCTGTCTAGATGACTGTGGAATTTCCTGGCGAATCTTGTTGACTGTGCCTAGGATGGTGGTTTTCCGCCTAAGCAGTTGTTGCGCAAGTGACAGTGATGTAAAGAAATTGTCCGTGGTAACATTTCTGCCCTTGTCCAGGAATGGTTCCATCAGCCTCATGACTACATTCTCGGACAGTCTCTCCCCACTGGGACGACTGGGGTCCTTGCCAAGATATGGGAGGACATTGCAGATGTACTTGGATTTCAAGTCACAAGCCACCCAAAACTTGATCCCAAACTTGTCAGGTTTCGTTGCAATGTACTGCAGGAAACAGCAGCGAGTCTTTGAGGGGAAAAGCTGTTCGTCAATGGTGATGTGTCGACCAGGGTTGTAGGATGTGATGCAGTTGGTGACAAATGACGACTACACAGCAGAAATTGCAGCAAACTTGTCAGTCTTTGTGCGCTCACTGCGGGTGTCCCTGTCATCAAAGGTGTCGCATGATGTCTTTGAAGCGATTTCGGGGCATGGTTGCCATGATCTGGGGGTTTCCCAGGTTTGCTCACCAGCAAACCAGAAAATGTGATAAATTGTCAATCAAATAGTGATCCTGTGAATGGGACTGGTTGCATTCACCTGAGTCGTTATGGTCATTCTCACATTCATACTCTCAACAGCTTCACCAGAGTATAAAAAATGTAGTGTCATATGCAAACAGTATGCAATTTAACAATTTAGATACATTTACAATGTCATTAATATAAAGTACAAACAGTTTTTGTCCATGGACCGACCGCTGGGGCATCTGCTGAGGTGCAGGAACATCAGGAGAAGTAGAACCAAACAAAACAAACAGAGGCCCAAACTGTCTGTGCAGTGGCTATGGCTGAAGCAGTTTCTGTCTACAGTTGTTCTCAGGTTGGAAACTCCCCTCCCCCTCCCCACTCACTCTCCCCACAACACAAGTTTCCTTGAAATAACTTAGCATATCCCCTCCTGTGGTGCACCAGCGATAGCCTCGTTTGCATAACAAACTGAGTGTTCAGAGGTGATTTAGTACTAGCTAAAAGCCCTCCAAGCCATTTGGCTGCCCTCTGGTCTTTATAGGTAGAACAGCAAAAAGCCGGTCCTTCTAGTGTTAAGAAGCTAACGAGTGGATGGGATGCAGGGGATGCATTCTATGGCGGGGGTGCATTCTACGGCACAACACCTATTGAGCTGCACGAGGAGGATAAACGGGGAGACGAATTAAATATCTTGTTAACTTCATCATATGTGACTGTTCACTGGATATTTAATTTACTGCGGTTTCAGCTGTGTTAATTCGGTCAGGAGGAGTGTCCAAACGTGTGCCAAACGCGCTCATCAGATCAGATATAGATCAGAATATATTTATATAGATCTAAATGTATGTGCTGACTCAGAATATTAATTGTTGATGATTATTTATTGCACTGTAATGTGCCTAACACTGTGGAAACCTGCCGGTGGGGCATCGGTGACGTATGCGTAATATGCCGCTGGTCTACCACAATACCACTAGACCAGCTACACTCAGCTTGTGCTGAAAGCTGACCAGATATGAATCGGCGAGCTTTCAGCGCACTTTATACGCCACCGGCGAGCATGAAAATGTCACTGCGCCAGTTGATTCTGTCGACACCTCCCCCTACTGCACGTCCACGCCCAGCTTGGTGGACCTCAGCACGCCTCAGTCCATGAAAATACCAAACTGGCTGTGCACCGGGCTCCGCCAGATGAAAAAAACACTGCGTTGGGTCCACCACTGTCCGCTGCCTCACCGGCGGACAGGAAAATAGAGCCCGTTTTCTCTGTCTGTTTTACTTAGTAATTTTTTTTTCTTTTATTGCACTTTGTTCATTCAGTATGGTTCAGAAAGTTGCTTGAAGTTGTCATTTTGGTTGTGAAGGACAATCAGAAATGTTTTCTTTTCTCAGCCACAAAGGCAACAGAAAAGGGCAGGATTGTGTGTTTTCTGGACAAAAAATTCACAATGCAGCTGTTTTTCCTTGCCACTTCTCTGGTGAGTTCTTTGTAAACAAAGGCCAGAATGAGCTGGACTTGTACCTGTCTCCAAAAAGTAAGCATACATTATTTTTTTAAATCATGGCATTTGTCCTTTATGTTGTAACTGAATGAGACCAGAAAAAAGCAGCAATTGGACATCATAAGAAATAGATAAGTTTTTTATAAACACCACAATCACCAATACCCAATCAGCTTGTGACTGCTGGTAATGTGACTACACTAATCCACTTGGCTAGGAAGACAAAATTCTAGAATCTGCAGTATTTTTTTATGTTGTAGAAAAAGAAATGTACCTCAGACATGGCAGTTGCTTTTATATATATATATATATATATATATATATATATATATATATATATATATGTACACTACAGGCCAAAAGTTTGGAAGCAAGGCCATTACACGCCAAACAGTTGGGAGTAACTTCAAGTTTTTGTTCACAATGCTTTTTTAAAAATCCAATTCAGTGCAAAAGCAAAAAAGCAAATCACAGTTGGATTATCCACTTCAACTTTTTGGCTTTTGAGAGCCTGCATACAAAAAAAAAAAAGTCAACTGCATTCAAACTACTGCAAAAAATGGCTAGGAAGAAGCAACTGAGTAAAGAAACAAAAGTACAGATTTGTACAGTGAGGAAAGAAGGATACATAGAAAGAGAAATTGCAAAACGCCTAAAGGTGTTTAACAAAGGAGTCCACTACACTCTGAAGAGACGAGAGGAACCTGGAAGTTATGATGATAGAAAAAGACCTGGACGAAAGAGAGTTACTACAAAAGCAGAGGATAAACATAGCATTGTCACCTGGAAGAGAGATCGTCGAAAGACAGCACCACAAATAAGGGAGGAAATCAACATGACAATGTCGAAACCCATATCTCTGACAACCGTGAAATGACGTTTGAGAAAGGCTGGTCTGAAGGGTTGTGTATCTGCAAAAAAATACTACTTCGTCCACAGAACAAGAAAAAGAAATATGAGTGGGTAAAAGCTCACACAAACTGGACTTATGATGACTAGAAACAAGTTTGCACTGTTTGGTTCAAAACACAGAGTCTATGTCTGCAGACAAACTGATGAATGTCTGAAAGCACCATGTGTTACACCCACAATTCAGCATGGAGGTGGTAGTTCCATGGTATGGGGATGTTTTGCAGGTGATGGAGTAGGAGATTTGTTTGAAGTAAAGGGTATCATGAAGAAGGAACAGTACCACTCCATCCTCCAGCACCATGCTGCTCCATCTGGACTCAGACTTGTGGCTCATGAGTTTATTTTGCAGCAAGACAATGACCCTAAGCACTCTGCCAAGCTCTGTCAGGGTTACCTAGACAAAAATAAGAGGAAGGTGTTCTTCAAAAGATGGTTTGGCCCCCCCAGTCTCCAGACCTTTCTCCAATTGAGCTTGTGCGGGATGAATTGGATTGATCGGTCAGAAAAACGTGTCCCACGAATCAGCAGTCTCTTTTTAATGAACTTAAGAAAGCTTGGAATGCAATCCCTGGAACATACCTTAAAAAACTTGTGGAACAAATGCCTGGTATTTGCCGAGCTGTTGTTAAAGCCAGAGGAGGTTACTTTAAAGAAAGCAAAGTCAAAGCAACAATAACTCAAATACCTAATAATTATAGTCAAAATGTCTTCTGATAAGTTGCTCTTTACACAATAGTCATGTTTATTGTGTTGCAAATTATATTAATGAAACTATGATCTTTTTTTGTACAAATCTGATCTTGCTTCCAAACTTTTAGCCTGTAGTGTGTAAATATATATATATATATATATATATATATATATATATATATATATAACAGTGGCGGCTGCTGGTCTTTCAAGGAGGGGAAGCTCATTTTTCTGGCCTATATCATAATTGTGTTTGTTTATTTGTATGTAACAGAACAGAGTTGCCAAACACAACGGCAGTCGTTTTTAACAAAGACAAAAGTCGGAATGAATAACTTGGAAAATGCTCTGGTAGATGTTTTATTCTTCAAGATCGCTGATTCACTTGTTTAGCTGTCAATCAAAAAGGATTTCGCCTCAGACAGCTCATCCAATCATGGATGCAGAAGCTCGGAGTCCGGGAGAAAGTCGGGACCGCCCTCTCGTCATAGAACTCCAGAGACGCCGAGCGTCCGATGGGCGGGACAAAGCCCAGCAGTTATCCAATGAGCGTCTAGTTTCGCTGCTGGAACAACCCACCTTGAGCTTCCACATTGAAGTCAGCAGACTCTGAGCGTCCGGCTGTGTGAAGCACTGAGGCGCTGCGAGGATGAATGAGAACGAAGTTGTGCCGGTTACCTGTGATTATCAGCTTCTTATCACAGTGTCTGAACAAAAGTTGAAGGCTTTCTAGTGCGTATTTAGTTAATGAAATGTACACACAGCAGTACGTATTTCACCACTTTTTCTTTTTTTGGGGGGGTGACATTTTAAGCGACGCTGAGCTTCCCTTGCAGTCTTAGAGCAATTGCCACTGATATATATATATATATATATATATATATATATATATATATATATGTATGTATATATATGTCTGAGTGTCTGTCTCTGTGATTTATTCAGCAGAACAGCTCCTGCCAAGATTAAAATAGGAAGAATGAAGTTGATGGCAGGAGGTCTTTGGTGTCAGTCTATAATTTCAAAGGGTGATAAATGTAGTGTTTTCATTTGCATTTACATTAAAAGTGGAGCCAATCAAAGCTGCGCTGCTTCATGTGATTTCCTTGAAACAGGGGTCGGCAACCTTAAACACTCAAAGAGACATTTGGACCCATTTCCCACAGAAAAGAAAACACAGGAAGTCAAAAACCCTGAAGATAACAGTGCAACATCATCTCCACATCAGGGCTGTATGACCTCACCTTCATCTTCACACAGGTTTTGTTTTTTGTTTTTTTGTTGTTGTTTTTTGCAAAACAGTTGTTATAACACATATTTTGAATGACAAAAACATCAAACACGGTTCATTTAATGTTACAAGAGCATCATAATCTTAGAATTTAGAATTACATAGAGATCAACAACTAAATGACTAAAATAAAATAAATTAAAATCGAATAACTATTGTTTTTTTCCCCCAAATCCACAGGGAGCAGCAGCAAAGGGATAAAAGAGCCACATGCGGCTCCAGAGATGGCCCCTGCCTTAAACTTTTCTTAGTCCTGTTACTTAAAAACAGACAGTGCTTGTCAGCACCATCATTCACAAGATAGTTTACAATCATGACTCAAAAATTCTGGCAATGCGCTTCAACATTAAGCTACATATGTCCACCAATGCTATCACATCTCTGACAAACATGAGATGTCCCATGCCCAGTGGATTTAAGCAGCAAATTGATGAAGCTTGATTTTTTCAATCAGACTGATCTAAACTCTCTTTGTAAAGAAAACAATTAAAACAAATGAGATTGCAATTACTACAATTACAACTAACGATCTACTCTAATGATTACTAACAGAGGACTCCAGAACAGAGCCACCACTGCAGCAGCTGCAGAGGGAGGGAAGTGCAGAGGAGAGCACAGCACTGACAGTCAGAAACCTCCTCGGTGCTAAAAAACCAGTAACTTCACTATAGATGTCTTAACTGTTGATACGGCCCACAGTGACATTAGTATATATTTTACTATGTGGATACAGTTTGAAATTTAGAACAAGCTGCTAACTAACTTATATAATGGCATTCAGCATTTGTGTCACACAGACAAAATCATTTAGTTCATTAATTATTTGCTTTAATTACTGTACGTTTTTATCTGCCTCTCTGACATGCTGTGTATTTTTCCATTATAAAAACCCAATTGTTTATTGGGTTTGCCTTCATACCGCAGCAGCACTAAATGAGAGGTACCAACCAATCTCCAAAAATGCTGGACAGGAAAGGCCAAGGATAGGCCATACCCAAAGAAAGTAGAATAGCTGATCTCATGAAGTGAACAAAAAACCCATTAGACATTAAAGGTACTGGGGGCCAACACCTTGATAAGTATGGAGGGAGCTTGTGCCTCTTCAGGTTACCAATGTATACTTTCTACAGTTTTCTTTCAGGTCTGTTACAGACAATCTACCAATAGTAGTATACTGCAAAATAAAAGCATAGCTTGAAAATATAAAAAATATAAAGCAACCTTAAAGCCGGATATAGAAAAATAATCATAAGATAAAAGCATAACAAACAATCTAATGAGGAAAAAATTTATTCAAAGAGGTTTTGGTCACAGGGCTTTTGATACAACATAAATCTTAACATTAGTAAACAATTAATGATGACATGTTAGGTAATTAGGTGTATTATTAAGTGTTTCTTTATAATATCATGTTTTAATATTTTATAGTCACAAGCTGAAAATCTGATCTGGTAACAGCTCGTCGAATAAATACTTGAATAGCCAGTTTCAAAGAGACGTAGAAGCTGAGAATGAAACTCCTAAGACTCCAATAATAGCACTTTCAAAATAAGACAAATTTAATTGCTGGAGAAAACATGACTCTGCAAGAGATCTTTCCAACAGGTTCTAGGACTGTCCTTAACTGCAAAGTTATTGGGGGAAAAAAGGAATTAGATGAAATATTAAATGTAGACAATTTGACCCACACCAACTGATTCATAGCTATACATCCTTAGAAGTTTGGCTGTAAAAGAGAGCATATATGCTCACATGTCACGCACCCATGGATTTAGAGACTTTAAACTGTGAAAACATGACAGCAAGACAGAGACTCCAACTAACATATATTTTGATAGAAGGGCACTTGTTTTTTTGTATCTAGCAAAGTGAGTCGTCTACGTGCCTCTAATGAACAGGTTTACTGGAAACAGGTCAGGGGAGCATGCCTTAGAGGCTTAGTCCTTCACCACTAAGGACAGGGCCAGGTTGATCACTTTGTTTTTAAACTGTTAGATTCTTTACTCACACAGTTGTTGACAATGTTTCTCAATGCACAATTGCAGGAATTAGGAGATTCCATCATCTACAGCTCATAATATCATCAAAGGTTTGAGAGAATTTACAGAAATCTCTGCACATTAGCAGCAAGGCCCAAAACCAACATTAAATACCCCTAACCTTTGACTCTTTAGGCAGCACTGCAGTTAAAACCCACATCATTCTGTAAAGGATTTAACCAGGTAAGCTCAGGAGGACTTCAGAAAACCATTGTCAGTTAACACAGTTGGTCTGCACATCAAACTGGTGCTTGTAAATTGGGACAAGGATAAAAAGACAAAAACCACTATCAACACCAAACAGGAACACTGCCAGCTTCTCCTAACTCGAGCTCATTGAAGATTGGACTGATCCAAAGTGGAAAAGTCTTGTGTGGTTTGATGAGTCCACATTTCAAACAGTTTTTGGAAATCATGGACGTGATGTCCAGGTCAAAGTACAAAGCCAGCAGCTGTGATGGATTTGAACAATTTTGGGAACATTTAGGACAGCCCACATGCAACAACAGGGTTTGTTTTTTATTATAATGTTACTAAAGTAACTAAATGTCTCTTCCACTGCTGGTGATAATAATGTTTCAGTTGGACTCTGTTAAAAAGCCCAAAGTGAAAAAAACACGTTCCTCAAGCATCTCACTGAGGGGCTTCTGTTTTTATAGCTATGTCCCATGTATGAGTGCAGGAGTGTTTAATAATAGCTTCTTAAACACTCCACCAGCTGATAGGGAGGAGACAGAAGTTCCAACATACCAGCAGCTTGGAATCCTAAAATTATTGTTCTGCTCTTAAAGGTGACACATCGGACAATGACTCAGGCAGCCAGATGGAGTCAGAGTGAGAGAGCTGTCACATCATTGTGACTGATGGCAG